GCTCTCATCCAGGTCCAGGAGACGCATGAGATCAGCCGGCCGTTGGTCGTCCCCATCACTGGTTTGCCATGCCCTTCAAAAGGTCATCGTCCCTGGCAGATCAATCGCGCGGAGGCGGGGTCGCACCCTTGGTTCCACGGCCGAGAAGACATTCGCAAGAACAGCGACTTGATTTTCACCGCCTGCCCATCGTCGACGTCGCGGCGGCATTCGCCGCCGTCTAGCACCCCGTCGAGCCGTTCAACGTAGCCTATGCGAACAGCCACACTTCCAACCAAATGGCGAGCCGCGGGCACAGAATCAGCGAGATGTGGGAAGCGCCTTTGACGCGTTGAGATTCTGATGCGCGCGAAGGCGCGCCGCCCTGTTCTGACCGCGCGCTTCTTTACCAGGCCCAGCTTCGCACGCGGCGCGCTCGCCGGCCGTCGGAAGCGTTTCGCGGGCAGTTCTGTGATCTCATGCAAGACATCCGCTTTGACCTCCTAACGCATGTCACTGAGCAGCGCTGCGCAGCGCCAGCTGCTGGCAGAACGTTTCTCGCCGTTCCTGAACGCTGCCTTCTCGGCGCGGGCGCGCGTCCAGCGGCGGCCGCAGACCCGGCCGAGATGTCTCCGTCCGCGCTTTGCGGCCGCCCCATCTTGCACCTCGCGCAACGGAACAAGGCCCCCGCAGACGCGGCCGACCAGAGGATCCCACACGCTGTCTCCCCGGATGGGAGATGCCAGGTCATCCTCGAGAGTTTCCTACTAGCTGCAGACATTCGACATTTCTCCTCTTCCCCAAAGAACACATACGAAGCCACCCGTGATCGAAGCGGCGAGCCAAACCGGAGATGACCTCCTTCGCCGTCCGCGCCGAGCTGGTGTCTGGCGCGCGCGGAGAAAGCGCGGCATCGCGATGCCAGGTACTCCCAGGGCTGCGCGGCGCTAAGGCGCATCGCTGGCTTCGCTGAGCATCCCCGCCGCAGAGGATTTTGCGAGGTATTTCGAGCAGAGCAATCGATAGGTCGAGCTAGAAAGCCCCCCGACGCCTCTCGGCGCGCGCGTCGGTCCCCCCGCGCTGCCAACTTGGAGGGCAATAAAGTTTGCGCTGCGCGCTTCGCCGGGCTGCACTTCGAGCTGGAGGCCCAGCAGCTGCCCGGGGCGAATGCCGCATGATTCGAGATGTTCGCCGCCGAGCGCCCATGCGGAAGCCAAAATGATGCCGCGTGGCCCCCGCGGGCAAGCGAGCCGCGGGCGCCTTGGAAGCCGCCCTGGAGGCCATCGCCAGGGAACATATGGAGGCCCGCGACGGCCCCCGCGCACTTCGAGCGGAGGTTTGTAAATTCGGTCCGTCTGACAAGGCATCGATCGAATCGCGCCTGGACAATGCCAGAACATGAAAACCCCAGTCCCATCCATGGAGGACCTCCGACAGACCATCAAGATAGTCTACCACTCCTCGCCATGCCCTGGCCGCCCCCCCACCCCGCCGCGCTTGGATGGCACTTGCGGAACCACTTCGGGTCTTCCGCGGGCTTCTTCTGCATCTTGCTTCAGAAGGCCGCGTTCCAGAGGACCTCGGCGCCCCTCTCTTCGCCTTCCCCCCGAATGGGTCTGAGGCATTGGGCGCGCATGGGCGCGCTGGGGAGCCTTGCCAGATTTGGCCGCTCGCGCTCAGCAATTTCGGTTCTCGGATCCAGGCGCGCGCGGCACATGTTGAGACTAAACCGCCTCCCCGTTGGAGGGCGCGCGCGGCGCGGCGGGAAGTTGCTCTCGGCCGCAACGTTTTGGGCAACGTAGTTATTAGCGGCGCAGCTTCCCGACGCGTGGGCAGGCGCGAGCAAGCGATCGAATGCGCTTCAGTTTTCCTGGATTTCGATATTTCCGCATCTGCTCCGAATCTGGGCCGCGATTGGGCTCGGGCGGCCCTGGCCCGCGCGGGCCCGTCAAGTGGTTGCTTTACGTCTGCAGCCGTTTTGCATCTCGGCCCTGGGAGTTTGGTTGCCGTTCGCGGCGCGCAGCAAGCGGCGTATTATTGCCATCCGGGTATTGCGCAGGGGTGCTCTTTTACCGGTCTCGGCGCCGGCGTTCGCAATGGGCCCGATCTTGAGGCACCTGGTTGAGCCATCGCCCCATCCGTCTCTGGGGAGATTTCGGGGCGTGGTTGGGGGCTCTGATGATGGCGCGGGGCTGGTTCAACCTCGCTCGGGCGATCTTGCGCGAGTCATGCTGTGTTAGAGAGCGAACACAAAATCTTGCCGCGCTGCGCTTGCAGACGTCCCTACTTGCAAGTGCCCCATAATTGGCAGAGGTTTCACAGGCCGCACCATACCGCACTTGTTTGTTTTTTTCCAGAAGTGGTGTGGGTTGCGAACAAGGTTCCGGACGTTCCGGACATGTTCCGGACCAAGAGGTGTTCCGGACAATTTGTTCCGGACAGTTGTTCGGGACAATCTGTTGTGGACAATTTGTTCTTGACAATTGTAGGAATTGCCGTCCTTGGGGGCCGCGCGAGCGCCCTCGGCTTGGAACCCCCGCGGGAGCCTGTAGCGGCCCAGAATGCGTGCGATTCGGGACCCGCCGGCCCCGCGTCGCCGGAAATCTGCGTCCTTGGGCGGGGGTGGAAGCGGAGGAGGAGGAGCGGGTGGTGGAGGAGGAGGAGGAGGAGGAGGAGGAGGAGGAGGAGGAGGAGGAGGGAGGCGGAAAAGGAGGAGGAGCGAGGATGATGATGAGGAGGAGGAGGGGGAGGAGGAGGAGGAGGAGGAGGGAGGAGGAGGAGGAGGGCGAGGGGGAACGAGGGTGATCGAGGAGGGGGAGAGGATGGAGGGTGGGAGGCTCCCGTGGCGAGGGAGGGCAGGGGGGGAGGAGGACGAGGAGCCAGTCCGGGGGCTCTGGGGTCGTCTTGGGGCCATGTGGGCCGTTGTGGAGCTCTCTCGGGGCCCTCTTAGGCCGTCGTGGGCGCTGCGAAAGTCCAAGGTGCGAGTCTGTCAAGATAGTACGTTTTCCTTAGGAAATGGGAGAATTTCTGTTTCTTGGAGCCCCCTTTGGGAGATTTCTCGGTTGACTCTCGCAGTATAATCGGGACATTGTGGGCCGTCGGGGAGCAATGTGGGGCGTCTTGGAAGGATTCTTGGGCGACTGGGGACTCTCTTGGACCGTTATTTGAGACCTCTTGGAGCCTTCTTGGCTCGTTTTGGGGCCCTCTATGCACCCATGAGGCGTCCGGGGCTGGGGGGGGTCAAATCCCGGGTTTGGGGTCCCATGGGGGGGGCAGACTAGGACCCCGAGGGTCGGTTGCAGTGGCCCTGGAGGGCGGCAGACTTTGCCGCGTGCCCAGGGACGTCCATTTTGGCCCGTCCTGGCGTCGGAACGCCCGATATCTACGTTCCTGAGCGGCCTGCGGGCCGCGGGGGCTACGAGGCCGGAGGGCCCTGAGGCTCTCAAGGACCTCGGAAGTGGGGGGGGCCAGGGGCGTGGAGTCCACGCGTTTGTTCCGGACAGTGTTCCGGACAATGCTCTGGACAGATTCGTTCCGGACGCGGCACGTTGCCAACACAGTCCAGACTCACATCCGGCAGTGGAAGGACGTCAGGCTCCCTTCCCGCACCCAGTACTTAGAAGTTCAGTTTGGGGCATGGGCCACTCAAGAACATGTTTGGGCCGAGGCCGTGTCAAAGGGGTGGTCGCGCTTTTCCCGCATCCCCAAGACTGGCTGCCACATAGGATTAAGGTGCTACTCTATAGCTTCACGGAACTGTCCACACTCAGCTATGTGGTGGAATTCTTCCCCATGGATCGAAGAGTGCTGTGCACAGAAACCTGTTAGTCGCAAGATTCTTGGGCTTCCGCTACGCACGTTTCGCAATGCCGACACGTTCTTTTTCCGCCAGGCACATTTCGTCCGAAGCGAGTTGCGCCATCATGCGCCATCATCTGCTCTTGTAATGAACGCTGCTAATTTGTCGGGGTGCGCGTATCGCATTCTCCAGGATTGGAGCCGCGGGTTCGACGACTAGAGCGACACGGCGGTGCAGACGCTTCTTCTTGTTTCCTGGATCCGTTGGGAACTGAGTGCGCCGTGTTGGGTGCAGAAGCAGGGCATTGCATTGAGATTTCCCCCTTTTGCTACACAGCCGCTTTTGTCGTGGCATCTCCGAACAGAACTGGAGAAGCGCCATCGCACCAGCCAGCGATAGGACGACCTGTGCAGCAGCAGAAGGACGCACGCCAGAGGTGTAGCGAACTGTGGCCACGTTCCTGCGCAGTGCACTGTATCCTAGTATCCTGGCACGTGTGAAATCATAGCTTCCAAGCGCCTCCATGCATGGGGGCTTCTGTCGAGCACTGTGTGTGCGATGGGTACCCCGTGGGGGGACGTTTCGAAGTCTTCAAGCGCTTTACAGCAGGCTGGCAGGCAGTGGGCGATCCTGAAGAACCTTGCTGGCGGATTGACAACAGCCTATCGCATCCGCGTGTGCGGGCTAGTGCCGTGTCTCTTCGGGTGCACGCAACAGCCTGAATCTATCATCCAACATACATCTTTCCGGCCCCGGCCTCCGTGAGCTCCTCGGTCTCCCCTCCAAGCCCCTCACAGTTCTCGGTCTCGCGACCGACAAGGGTTCCGAGAGCGCAACCCGTGCGCTCAACAGGGCTGGAGCTCTGCGACTCACAGTGCTGGCTTTTCATTTTGTAAGCGAAAGCCATGGTGACTCATGGTCGGGCGCTGTTCCAGGACCAGCAGCTAACCGCCGTCGCCGCCGCCTTGCGCGCAACTGATTGCTAGGCACATGGGAGACTGGCTGCGCGGTTACGGTCGATCATCCTCTCTGTCTCTCTCTCTCTCTCTCTCTCTTCTCTCTCTCTCTCCCTCTCTGCCCATCCCGTTCTTCCCTCGACTCACAGACCCCAGGAACCCCAGCCAGTCAACCCTCACTCTCTCTCCTCTCCTTGTCCTCATTCTTCTCTCCTTGTTCTCGTTTTCCCTCCCTGCCCTCCCTCCCTGCCTCCCCTGCTGGAGAGGCCGGGAAGAGCGCTGGTGAACCCGCGGAGCTTACCCCAGAGGAGCTCGAGGCTGCCTGGGGACGCCCCATCTGCTCTTCTGGAGGATGAAAATGATCAGGCCAAGGGAGGAAGGATGAGGGAGGGCGAAGGAGGAGGAGGAGAAGGAGGAGGCGGAGGAGAAGGAGGGGCAGGAGGAGGAGGAGGAGGAGGAGGATGGGGAGGAGAAGGGAAGGAGGTTATGAGATAGGAGGAAAGGAAGGGAATGGGAAGAAGGGTAATTAGCGGGAGGCGGAGGAGGATGAGTAGGGATAGGAGGCTTTTGTCAAGTTCAGCGGTCTTAACGGTTCGTGGAAACTCCCAGGGAGTTTCAGGAGGCTCGGGGGTGGGTCGGGGGAGGAAGGGGGGGAGGAACGGGGATCAGGATCATGAGTCGAGGAAAAAGGGGAGGGCGGTCTGCAGTCTTTTTCCTGGAGGTCGAGGCCTCCATATTTGAAGCTGGGGCTGGAGGGCCTTCTCAGGTGGAAAAGCCCAAGATGCCATGGCCCTGAGCTGCCTCGTCCTCTGCCATTGCTTTCTCTGCTGACGCCTGGCTTGTGCCGATTTCTGTCAGCGCCTACAGTCAACCCGCATAGTAAGGATGAGCAACTTTCCAAAGTTACCCTCGCATCCTTGCCCCTATGGCTCATCCTTAGCAACTTTCGGTGGCCAGCCTCGTTCGAAACACGTTAACATGGCTCTCGAAGGCCCTTGCATCCTTACCGCGCATCCTTATTATACGGGTTGACAGTACCGCAATCGTGGCTCAACACCCCTCCTCCCTCGGAGCACCGCTCTGTTTGGAGTCGGCAGGGGGTCTGAGATGGCCCAGTACTTGTTCCAGCGAGGGGCGGCGAGGTTTGAAGTTCTGGGGTCGAAAGGGTGTCTGCCCGCTTCGGCTTTCTGTGGCTTGTTTTGGGCCCCAGGACCGTCAGGAACGGACCCAGAGTGAAAAGCTGCACCAGATGGACCCCGGGAGGGGTCCGGGGGCCGATTTTGAACGGATTGGGCTTCGTCCGCCCTGCTGGCCAATCTTTTTGTGGAGCCAGACGGCTCAGAGCCCCCGGCCGCCTCCCAACGCCATGGTCTTCTCGGGAGCAGGTGGTGTGGGAGAGCCGTGCGGTCCCCTGAGATCGGATCCTTAGCGCGTGGTCCGGCCTCCCTTCCTCCTCTCTCCCTGGCCTCCCTCCTCCTTTTCCTCGCCCGACGTCCGGCGAGCATGAAAGGGGGAGGGGCGAGGTATTCTTGAACATCTGGGGTCGGAAGGGTTTCGGCCTTTTTCGGCCTCTTCCTCTTGCCGCCCGATCTTCTTCGTCCCCTCAGTCCCCCCCCAGGACTTCCCCCCGCTGCTCTCCTCTGCTTCTGCTTTGCGCTCTCTCCCCCCGTCGTCGCCCTCCGCCCCTCTTTCTCTCCTCCACCCCAGGGGGTCCATTTCGATCCGATCGATCCGATTCGATACAGTCGGACCGAGGTAGAAGATCGAGATCGGTTCGGGGAGGGTACCCTCATATTCTTCATGTCTGTTGGATGTTCTGGTGCATCCTGGGAAAGGTACACCCTTGGATGTTCTGTTTGTTTGGGCCGACAGAGGGTCTCATGTTCTTGAAGCATGTTCTTCTGGCCCAGGTCCGACTGCATCGGCTTCGGCCATTTCGATCCGATTCGATTCCGATCTTCTGACAGTCCGCTGCGGCCCGGTGCCCGTGCTGGCATGGCGCTGTTCTGCACTCTGGCGCAGCGGGTCCGATCCGACATGGGTCCCGTGCTGATGCCTTCTGATCCGACCCACCTCCCGACTTGATCCGATTCACCCACTCGCTGCTGACCGATCCTGAGACGTTGCCTCCGTCCTCTCACTGGCTCCGGAAGGGTTTCGCCCACGACCTGTTGGGCGCTGCGTAATGGGGGGGTCATAAATGGGGGGGCGGCGAGGGTGGTCCGAAAAGGTACCCAAACGGTACCTAAACGAGCCCCCTGGGGCTCTGGAGGGGCCCGAAAGGGGCACGAAAGGGGACCTTTTCTGACCCCCCCATTTGTGACCCCCCCATTAAGCAATCAGTGATGGACAGAACCCCCTTTAGTAAAACGTGGTTTAGTGAAAACGACCTGAGGCCCAAACCTGGCGGGCGCAAGCCTGGAAAATAACGGCCACGGCGCCCTCTCGAGAACCGAAAACGGACAATTCACTAATCGACGTGTCACTGTTGGGGGTTCTGTCCACCCCCGAAGCAACGCCCAAGACCTCTGCTTTTCCGCACACTGTGAGGCCACGGCCGCCTGCGCCCTGACCGAATGGGCACGGGCACGCCCGTGCGCCCGACTCTCGGGCGACTTCGCCTCGCCTCGCTTCGCTCTGTCCTCTCCTCCTCGTGCCGCTGCTTTGTCCCCGCTCCGCTCTCCTGCCCGTGCCGGCCTCGAGGAGCTGCGGAAGAAGAGGCTGAAGAAGGCCCCCGCTCAGCCGCGGGTCGGGGCTGGCCTCCTGCGTTGGCCGAAGGAGGAGGAAGAGGAGGAGGAGGAGCTTGCAGGCGAGGAGGAAGAGAGGAAGAGAGAGAGAGAGGGGGGAGCAGGATATAGAGGATGGGAATGAGGAGGATGAGGAGGATTTGAGGATCAGAGATGGGATGAGGAGGTTTCGAGGATCAGAGGATAGGAAGGAGGAGGAGGAGGAGGAGGAGGAGGAGGAGGAGGAGGAGGAGGAGGAGTAGGAGTAGGAGTCAAGCTAGCCAGCTCGAGCGAGTCAAGCATGGCATGCCCAGTCCCACCCGCCCTCCCACAACATAAGAAGCAAAGCTGGCACAACTGGGGGCCGAAGTCACACCGGCCAGCCGGTTTGGTACAGCTGATGCGGCCGCGATGGCGGTTGCCGACGGGAACTGGCGAGCGCGTGTTGAATGCCGCGCACGCATTGCCAGACGAGTCGAGAATGGCCCGGTACACCGCAGGAAGCCAGAGGTGGCCGTGTCGAGAACGGCCCGGTAAGCCGGGTCCCATTCCTGCCATGCATTTTGCGACGTGGACGACAGGACGTCCATGCGACGGTGCCAATGACGGCGACGACTCTAGAAGGATTTGAGCATGCGCTCGCGGCGACGCGCGCGCATGTCGCCCGCGTGGTATTTTTTGCACAGGATTCGCGGCCTGGGTGCATGACAGAGCATCGCGAGTGCACCGCGCGATGACGTGAAATCGCTGGATTTGACCGAATTCTTAAGATTCCTATGGTTTTCCTATGATTTCAGCAAGAGAGCCCGGGCAGGAAATGTGTAGAATTTTTGTGAAAAAGCATTGGGTTTTTGATGTTTTTATGTTGAAATGCTTGCAAACACACGGTGTTCGGTAGGATTCTGACATGAACGCGCGCGTGTGCTCTTTGTGGTATTTTTTGCAATGGATTGTCGCCGTGGACGACAGGACGTCCATGTCGAGAGGAAAAAATAAGAAAAATGTTGATTTTGTATTGTTTTTTACAGGTTAGGGTGGGACCACCCGGATGGGGCCCCTATCTGCCGGCCTGAGGGGGGAGTAGGAGTATATTCTAATAAGGAATAATGATAAGAGTAGGAGATGGAGGAGGAGTGGGAGTAGGAGTAGGAGGAGGAGGGGGAGGCGGAGGAGGACGGGGAGGAGGAGGGGAAGGATGCAGAGGAGGAAGAGAAGGGTGAGATGTAGGATGATGAGGATGATGATAGGAGCACGACGAGTAAAGGGGGGCAATGATAACATTGTAGGGAAGACGGATCTGATATGATTGCCGATTATTTTGAGGGTGCGTACGAGGATGCTGAGGATGATGTCTTTGACGTTGCTGATGATGATGGCGGTGATGATGAATGGAGGAGGAAGGGGAGGAGGAGGAGGAAAACTAAGAAGAATCAGACGAGTATGACGACATGGGGAGGAGTAGTATCAACAGTGTTGTGAGGAGAAGAGGTCCGCGTGAGATTCCTTGGGGGCCATCGCCCTCGTCGTTCCTCTAATATCGGCGCTTCCTGTCGGCACCATCCGCTCTCGTGGGCGTAGAGCAGAACCCAGCGGGCCAGCGCGATACGGTTACGCAGCGCTATGAGGATGATGTGCCACATCAAGGCAGCCCTTGCATCCGTGTCTGCGACCTCACCTTACATTCCTTGACTAGGCCTGTGTGGTGAAATCCGAGGGTCTTGCATACTTACCCTGCATCATTTCTGCGGTGTTTGGCTCCAACTCCTTCTCTCCAGTCCGGGCTCTCCAGTTGCTGAGCGACGTGATGCCGCTTCCGGGAGGTGCTGGAGGAGGATGAGCAGGAGACGGCCAGAATGCTGCGCCGAGTGACTGGCTGGCCCCTCTCTTCTCAAATTGCGCCCCTCCCCTGCGGTGGCGCAGAGGTGATAAAGGAGGGCGGCAAGCGCGGCGTGGAGATCGAAGGCGCCGCCGACATGGGCGGCCTCCAGTTCTTCTGCACGGCCGTGGAGGACCCCGGCGGGCCACTGGGGGGCGTGGCCCAGTCGAGTCGGGGCCAGTCGGCCAGGCTCCGACCGTCGTCTGGTCTGGTGGCTACCTGGCCAGCGACCTGCAGGTCCAGAGGGATGCACATCACCGGACGGTCTGCCGCACGAGCCATTTCGCTTGGCCTCCGCAGCGCAGGCCGCCGCCACCTCGGCCCTCCCCGGCGCCCGAGGCATCCCGGAGAGAAGCGGCCCAGGGCCCCCGACCGCCCCCCTATGGGCCCCGCGCCTCGCGGGGCTGCTCGGGGACCCGCAGCTCCGAACGGTGGATCGGCAGCACTCACACGCACTGACGCACCGATGCTGTGTGCGCGTCGGCCCCGCATGGCCGACGACGACGCTGGCAGTTTTTCTGGTATAGGCCCCCGTGTGGGCCTTTCCTGGCAGCGCCGCTTGCGTAGCACTAAATCCGAAGTCACGCATGTCGGTGAAAGTCTGTATCTTTGAATTCCCAGAGCCCAATCTACTTCAAGCGCCCTCCTGAGTACTGCAAGACTGGATATGTTTGTGCTGCTTGTTGATTGTTAATTATCTAGGAGGGCCTGGACCCAATCTGCTTTATCCGCCTTCATACTTCAAGTTGTTATGTATCTATTCCGACCGACGTGTATGCTGTGAGAGCAAATCGACTTGTGCTACATGTTCTGGCCAGACGTCCGCCTCCCAGGTGGACGCGCAGTACTAGTATCTCCCTCAAGGGCCCCGGTGGAAGTGGTCCGCGGATGGCGAGGGCCCACCGCCACGCTCGCCCGATCCGTCGAGGAGAGTTACTCCTTCCAGCGCCAGGCCCCAGTCTGGACGTCGAGGGACGAGGAGCTGCGAACCTCGAGGCGTTGCGAACGCCAGCCCAGGCCATGCTTTGCCGCGGTCCTGCGACCCTCGGCACGCCCCGAGCCCCTCTTCGCGTGCGGGGCGCACGTCCGCACCCACGGCCTCGCGGCCCCCGGAGACCCCTGACAGCCGCAACCTGGCGGATGCGGGGCGGCTCTGCGCGGCTGCAGGCCCAGGCAGCGCGCGTCGATGGGGCCCCGCCTCGATGGGCCAGACCGCGAGTGCCTGCGCATTCGGATCTGTCCGCCGCTCGTGGCACCCGTCGGGGAGCCGGCCACGTCGACTCCTCGGCGAGCGCTGCCGAGCCCGAGCCTCGAGAGCACACCGCCGCGGAGCTCGAGCTCGGGGGCACCGCCCGGCGGCGCGCGGAGCGCGGGCAGGGCGAGAGGGCCGGCCTCAGAAGGCCACGGGCGGGGGGAGAGGGCTCTTCGGCCGCCCGTCCGCAGTGCGGGAGAGGCCTTCCCAGGAGCCCCCCAGGGGGCCCTCTGCGGAGCACCCCCCCCCTCCCGCCTTCTCGGAGGGCCGCCCACCGCCTCCAGGGCCCTTTTCGATCCGATCGATGCGATGCCGTGCCCGTCTCGGCCACTCTGATCTTCTCCGACGCCGATGCCCCGACGATCCGATGCGGCGCAGTGCCTGCGCGGCGTTCCTGTGCACCTTGGCGCGGCCGATCCGGTCCGATCTCCCGACTCGATGCTGACTGATCGTGCCCCCTTCCTCACCCTCCGACCAGAAACGCGTGTCCCCAGACCCCTCTCAGGCTCCAGCCTGGCCAGGTGTTGCGTTCTACGCCCGGCCGCGGCCACGTGCGGCGCCCGGCGGTGGTTCACGTCTGCTCGAGCCTCGGACCTCGAACCCTCCTGTGCCTCGCGCGTGCCGGGTTTTTTTTTTTAACCCCCCCACGGTGCACCTCATTTCTCCATTTCTCCGCTCCGCCTCCGGTCCCATCGTCGAGGGTGCTCGTTCGATGCTGCACCGCAGGCACTTTGGCCCGAGGAGCCACCGGGGGGGCGAAGTGCGTAGCCTCTTTTTCCGTTTCCGCTCGAGACTCGATCCCAAAGAGGCGTTCGAACCTCCAATTCCGAAGCCTCCTGTGCTTCGCGCGCCGCAGCACTTCACCCGGGGGCTCGATCTCCTGGACGCCAGCCGGCCCTCAGCCAGCAGCACGCGGCACCCACGCCCTGCCTGGCATGCTCTCGGAGCCTCCCTGAGGAGACTCCCCCGCCGTCGGCGAGGGCGGATGCCCCCTCCCCAGGGCCCAGAGGTATACTCTGGGATCGGCCAGCCTTCTCAAGGGGAAACCAGGAGGATTGGAAGGGCCAGGCGGACGGATGGGGGTCGGGCGGGGCTTGGATGAGGGTAAGTCCGTTCCAGAGCGTTCCGGAACGCTCTGAGACGGCCGCGGCGCCCGAGACATCCTCCAGAACCGCTGGATCTCAGAGATTCTCGATTTATCCTCGCCCGAATTTGTCCTTGTCCTGGCTTCATCTTAGGGGGAGGTGCGTGCTTGGGATACAGTCAAGAGGCTGGAATAAGGACGGCGTTGGGCCCAGGTAAGGCTCGGGTTTTCGGGCCGTTCTTTAGATTCGTATCAGGGAGCCTTTTTTGCGGCCTAGGCCCGCCGTGGCCAGAAAAGCCCCATCGTTCCTTTTTGCGCGTTCCTTACGGTAGCACGATGACTGTAGGAGTAAGTCGTTGCTGAAGCGCTTGCAGAGCGTCCTGGAGCACCCTGGAACCGCCACGGCGCCCGAGTTGCTCTCAGACGTTCTGGACAGTTGTATATGGAAGTGTTGCTTGGGTATCGGCTCAAGAGAGCTGAACGGCAGAGTGCGCTGAGTACAGGGGGAAATGCTCAGAATGATTTCTGGTAGCCGTCGTCGACAATTTATCGAGGAGGGCGCCTCGCGAAGCACATCGTCAATAACGTCGGACTCAAACTCCTCATCTCATATGAACCTGGTCCGATCTAGAATCATGCGCGAACTGGCTTCAGACAGCCGCACACGGCTTAGAATCATTTCGTCGTAAGTTACGCGTGCGCAAGTGGGGGCAAAGCTCAGCAGTGCGCAGCAGCAAAGTGGCTCAGACGAACACAGGAAGAGAAATGCTCCCGGGAAGGCCGCGCAACGGTATGGGAGCCCGCTGGAAGGACGCGGCGAGCAGAGCGACCCAGGTCACGCTGGGTTGACGTCGCGTCCTCCCGAGGCTCCGCGGCGCGCGCCGCATCGGGACGGCCTCCGGGCCGGCACTTGCGTCAGTCATACAGTCGGGGCTCTGAAGAAGGAACCCTTTTCGTTGGGGAGGGGATCCGCGTTCCTTAAGTGTTTCACAGCTTGCCTCAGGTTTTCTCGACAGGAAATCGAAGGTTAACTTATGGGAAAAAGAGGCTCGTTCCTTATTTAGGGTTCCTTAGGTCAACGCCCCGACTGTATGGGAGCCCGCTGGAAGGACGCGGCGCAGAGCGACCCAGGTCACGCTGGGTTGACGTCGCGTCCTCCCGAGGCTCCGCGGAGCGCGCCGCATCGGGACGGCCTCCGGGCCGACACCTGCGTCAGCCATAGTCAGCAGGCCCTGCCCGCCTGTGAGGGTGGGGAGGTGCGGGGAGGGAGCCCGGAGGATGGGGAGGGGAGATGGAGAGGAGGGGAGGGGGAAGAGGGGGAAGTGGAGGGAGAGGGCGGAGAGGAGCAGCAGCAGCACGAGTAGGGGGTTGGGGGGTCGGAGAACGTGACCTGGATGGATGAGGATGAGGAGGAGGAGGAGGAGGAGGAGGAGGAGAAGGAGGACGAGGGCGAGGAGGAGGAGGACGAGGACGAGGACGAGAACGATGACGAGCACGAGGAGGAGGAGGAAGACGACGACGATGACGATGACGAGGACGAGGAAGAGGATGGTGAGGCAGAGAAGCAGCAGGAGGGGGAGGAGGGGGAGATGGAGGAGGAAGCTGGCAGATGGCGAAGGGCAGAGTCTCGGGAGCAGGGAGGAGGGTGAACGGGGCGGGAATGAGAGGTTGAAGGGTGGGAGGTCTGGAAGAGGAAGGAAGGGAGGACGAGCATGGTGGGAGGTGGGTGCAGGGACGGGCCGAGGGAGCGGCCGGCTGGGCCAGGAGCCCGACGGCGACCTCGACCTGCTGGTGGAGTCGATGAAGGCGATGAACGCCAAGAGCGACCCGACCGACGAGGAGCGCAAGGGCGGCTCTGGTCACATCGGCAAGATGATCTTCTCGGCTGGTAGCGCGGGGGCTCGGGGGGGGGGGCCCTCCTGGGCGAGTGACCGGCCCCGCGGGTGCCCGCACGCGCGGCGAATGCAGAGCGGGCGGCGGGTCGCCGTCGAACGGCGTATGGCTTAGGTCAGCGCTCACGAGTGACAAAAGTCAGACTTGTATCCGAAGACAGAAGGCACGACGGCAAGGATGGCAGCAAGCGGCAGAGCTGGCGGCATGTCAGCCACGCGCAGAGAGGGGTTGGGGGAGGGGGGGCGGCTTCTTAGAAGCACCCCTGCTTCTTCGAAGGCGCGGGCCTTGTCTGTAGATGTAGGGCCAGCGCCTTCAAAGAAGCAGCCTCCTCCCAAGAAGCCTCTCCCCCCCTCTTCCCCCTGTCCCTCCGTTCGCGCCGCCAGGCTTGCCCGCTCCTCGAGGCTGTCCAGGGAGGCGGGAGGCGGCGAGGGGCGGCGCCGCGGGCGGAGGGGGGTGCGGGAGGGGGCGGCCATGGGGAGGGGGCTCGCAGCCCCCGGCGGGCAGGGAGGAGCCGCAGGGGCGGCGAGGGGCCCCCCGCGAGCCCGGAGGGGCGACGCCAGCGCGGTGCGCGGGCGTGCGGCCACGCAGCGCGGGGGGCACGGTCGTTTGGGGGGGGGGGGGGGGGGGGGGGGCGCGCGCCCGGGGCTCGCCAGGGGGAGGCGCAGACGTCCTGCGCCTCGGCGGCATCGAGGGGTGGAGGTGTGCCATGGTGTTCGGCCTCTCGGGGCCCTCGCCGCGGGTCCTCGGGGCCGTCAGGAGGCGACTCGGGACGGAGGACCAGTCCCGGGGAAGAGGTCGAGTCGAGAGGTCGGGGGCCCGCGTCTCTAAGGAAGCGATGCGCCAGATGTCTGGGGAGGCTGGCTGCCAGGCGCTATAGGATGGCAAGGAGCAGCAGCAGCAGCAGCAGCAGCAGCAGCAGCAGCAGCAGCAGCAACAGCAGCAGCAGCAACAGCAGCAGCAGCAGCAGCGGGGTGGGTATATACATCCGGGGCTACAGGCACGGAGCAGCTGGCGGTCGCCGCGTACGTGCCCGAGGACGGGGGGGACTCTGGCATCGGAAGCTAGCAAAGGTTGTAGTTGATGAGCAAGTCAGAGGGCGGGTTCCAGAATAAGGGCCTTGCCTTCGAGGATCGAAGGAGTTGATATCTCTTCCTCGTTGGAAGGCGGCGGGCGGCGGCGCAGGTAAAACGAGGCCACCACCACCGCCCATCATGGCGATGCCAGGGCGCCTGGGCTGCAGCCCAATTGGTTTTCTCAGCAGCCTGTCTCCTGCGCTCTCCCATCGTTCCAGTGGTCCAGCCTCTGTCGCAATCGATGCCGCTGCTCCAGCTTGATTAGGATGTGCACGCGCAGCGTCACTGTCCGCTCTCCCGTCTTTCTTCGCTTAGGCTGGGGGGGGAGAATGAAGTGACCCCTACATGGAGATCGGTTTCGGAGGCGAGGTTGCGCGAGGGCGACGACGGAATTCAGATGGGACTGCGCATCGGAATGAACATCCGATTGCGATCGTCATACACATCGAGCAGAACCTTGGAATGCAAGTCGGAATGCAAGTCGTGTCGGTATCCAAATCCAAAGGCAGTCGGAATGCAACTCCGAGTCCACATCGAAATACAGATCGGCATGCACTCGGAATAACATCGAAGCGCACACACGACTGTGACCGACATGCGAGTCTAAACATGCAGGTTCCTCCCTCAACCTTACTATCATCCGAAGGGTGGTTTATGATCAGATAGAGGGAGCCCGAGCGGTCTGACTTCGTCCCTGCGCGCGCGTGGCTGGATGGAGGGCTCGGCCTCCGAGGCGGGGGGGGCGACACTCCGGAGCAGCACAGCAGGACATGGGGGCACCACTTGGGGGGCAACGCTCGGATGCACTGCATGGAGGCGGCTTTTTTGGGGCAAGGCATGGGGACGAGACTTGGGAGCAGTGCACAGGAGCAGTACGTGGGGGCAGCACATGGGGGGCAATACTGGGGCGTAGCACACGGGGGCTATCCATGGGGACGATACGGGCAATAATGCTCGGGGGCAGTGTTTGCCGCCCCTCGCTCTTCTCCGCAAGTGCGGGGTGCTACGTAGCTGTTCGTGCCGTTTTGTTGGTGGGACTCCCGCACTGAGCGCGCTGACGAACAGGACGATTTTAGGGTGTTATCCGCTTTTTTCCCTACCTAGGCTCTGCCTAGAGGGTTCTTACTCTCTTAGCTTAAAGGGGCCAGGCAGTGTAAATCGCCCCAGGCGGTTCCCCCAGTCCCCGCCCCGCGGTTCCCCCAGTTGCGCCCCCTGGGTTCACCCAGCTTAGCTCAGCTTCAGCTTAGCTTTAGCTTAGCTTGAGCTTAGCTTTAGCTTAGTTTTAGCTTAGCTTTAGCTTAGCTTTAGCTTAGCTTTAGCTTAGCTTCAGCTTAGCTTTAACTTAGCTTTAGCTTAGCATCAGCTGAGCTCTAGCTTAGCTTTGCTTAGCTCTAGCTTAGCTTCAGCTTAGTATTAGCTTAGCTCTAGCTTAGCTTTAGCTTAGCTCTAGCTTAGCTTCAGCTTAGCTTTAGCTTAGCTTCAGCTTAGCTCTAGCTTAGCGTTAGCTTAGCTTCAGCTTAGCTCTAGCTTAGCTTTAGCTTAGCTCTAGCTTAGCTTTAGCTTAGCTTTAGCTCAGCTTTAGCTTAGCTTTAGCTTAGTTTCAGCTTAGCTTCAGCTTAGCTTTAGCTTAGCTCTAGCTTAGCGTCAGCTTAGCTTCAGCTTAGCTCTAGCTTAGCTCTAGCTTAGCTTCAGCTTAGCTTTAGCTTGGTGTCAGCTTAGCTTCAGCTTAGCTTTAGCTTAGCTTTAGCTTAGCTTCAGCTTAGCTCTAGCTTAGCTTTAGCTTAGCTCTAGCTTAGCGTTAGCTTAGTGTTAGCTTAGATTTAGCTTAGCTTTAGCTTAGCTTTAGCTCAGCTTTAGCTTAGCTTTAGCTTAGCCTTAGCTTAGCTTTAGCTTAGCTTTAGCTTAGCCTTAGCTTAGCTTTAGCTTAGCTTTAGCTTAGCTTTACTGTTACTACTAATGCTGCTTTCCTGGGGGCTCCAACTCCTAGGTAGGGTCGCACTGGGGAAATGTTAATTTTCCCTCTCTCTCTCAGTTGAACGTCCTTCCTCCTCAGAAGGTGATGCGTGTTCTTGCTATGGTTGTTGCTGCGCGTCGCAGCCACGCGCCGCAGGCCCGATCAGCCCTAGGCCATGCGCTGGCTCCCGTGGCGAGCGCCTCGCACAGGAGCAAAGGCCGGCTCCATCGCGCGCAGGGTGATCGCGCCCCCTCCCCTCCCCACCGCGGCGCCACCCCGGCGCAGGCTCCGCCTCTTCTCGCTCGCCATGGTCGGCCTCCACGCCATGCGCCATGCCTCCGCTGAGGCTGCGGCCTCCACGCCATGCGCTCCTACGCGCTCACGGGCACGGGCGGGCTCCCCAGCGGAGTGCGCGCGTCTCTGGCGCCCGTTCGCCCGTCGATCTTGCGCGAGCGGTGGCTCCATATCCTTTCGCGTGCGCTTGGTCCGAGCTGCGGGCTCGCGCCGCATTGGCGCGGCGGCAGCGCACGGTGCATGCGGCAAACATTGAGCACACGCTGAGCGCTCGCTCCGGGCCCCGGGACCCTCAGAAAACAGCCGGGAGAAGAAGGTAACGATACCGCTGCTTGTCCTGGGGCCCCTCGTCGCCACGGCCAGATTCTCTTCGAAACTCTTGTCAGAACGCACCCAGGGGTCCCCCAGGGAGAGGTCTGGCCAGTAGTGGTATCGATATCCTTTTTACCCCACGCACGGTGCCAAATCCGCTCGGAGCTCGGGGGTCTCCTGGGGGGCCTCGTGGAGCCTGATTTGGGCCTCCGGGGGACTTCTGGGGGACTCTGCGGAGCCTCTTATGGGGGCCTGCTGGCGGTCTCTGGGGCCATCCCGGGGCGAAGGCCTCGAGACGTTGGCTGCGCGCCCCCCTCGGCGCGCCGCCGCCTGGAGGAGGGGCTCGGCAGTGCCTCTGGGGCACCTGCGACCGACGGCAGGGCGGCGGTGGCTCGGGAGCCCGCGCCCCCGGTGGCTCGGGAGCCGTGCGCGCTTGCGCAGCTTGGGCTCCCGGGCAGGCGCGAGGCGCCCTGTCGTGGACGTGCCTCGCACGGCTGCTTCCGTGTTTCCGAGGCGGGAGTGCATCCATGGCCAATTAGTGCTTCGCGCGCCAAGTAGTGCTTCGCGCGCCCCGCCTAATTAGCTCTTGACCGGAAGAGGCCCCGCTCTCGACCCGCCGACCAAAAAGTGTATCCATGGCCATCGCTTGGGGGGTCGGTCTTCGGGGACCTCGGCAGGCGGTGGATATGGATACGTTTGGGCCCCCTGGGGCTCAAGTATCTCCACGCCCACCGCCCGCTGGGGTCCCAGGACGTCGGTTCCCAAGGCGGTGGATGTTGGTATGTCCCCGCCTCGCAGTGCTGGCGTTTGCTCCAGCCTTGGGCAACCACTGCTGCTGGCCAGCTGGTTGCAGCCTGTGCGCCCCAGGGGGCCTCGCGCGCTGACCCTGCGCACTCATGCGGACCCGGCGTGTACACCACGTTGCTTGGTCGGCCATGGAGCCCAGGAGCCAAGGCGCCAAGGCGAAGGGGTTCGGCGCATAGGCGCTCCGGCCTCCCACAGGTCGGGAAACTGGGGCACGCCCCGTGGCCGACCAGACCACTTGGTGTACATCACCACCCACCAAACCACCCCAACCCAACCCGAAGGGTCAGATTTACCCTCGATTTCTAGTGGGGGGGGGTCCGGGAACATCGAAAAAACACGTATGGAGCCCATACCCCCCCCCCAACCCGAAATTCGGGTCTTCGGGTTGGGTTGGGGTGGTCTGGTAGGTAGTCATGTACACTCCGAGCCCCTCCCAGGCCCCGGCTGCACGCAGGCTCGGCGGGCCCCCGCGAGGGGCGAAGCGCGGACCCCGTGCTGCAAGACTGGGCCGCCGTGCTCGCCGCCAGGCCTGGCCCCTGGCCTGCCTGCCCGCCGCCCCGCCGAGCTGGCCTCGGCGGGACACCCCCGACCCAGACATCTGGCGTTCCGAACAAAACGCAACGTCACGGCGGTTGCTCATTGTTTCCGGCCCCTCGTGGCCCTCATACCGGGCCTCGGGAACGTCGAGAAACCGATTCGGGGTGAAAACTGGCCCCAGGGAAGTGGGTCGAGAGGTCGGGGGCCCGTGTCTCGAATCAATCGACTCGAAACGCCAGATGTCTGGGGATGAGGAGAAGCAGGGCGAGCTCTCCTGCGAGGAGTGGCTGCGGACGGTGCTCGCCCCCTTCTCCGGCAGCCTCTGCGGCACGGCCAAGGACCTTTGCTCTGGCGTCGTCAAGACGGACGCCGACAAGGACCGCCCCCTCTTCCCTCCGTCCTGCCCCGTCGCGCCCTCCATTCGCCCTGATTCCTCCTCGCCTCCCTCTCCGCCCCTCTCCAACTCCTCTCCTCCCTGTCCCGCTCCTCTCCCCCTCGCCTCTCCTCCCTCTCCCCGCCTCTCCTCCATCTCCCAGTCGCTCTCCACTAAATCCCACCACTTCCTCTCCGTCTCCCTCAGGCATATCGGGCCTCGGGAACGTCAAAAAGCGACTCGGGACAAAAGCCGGGCTCAGGGAAGTGGTCGCGAGGTCTGGGGGGCGTGTCTCGAAAAGGTCGAAACGCCGGATGTCTGGGAGGTCTGGCTCGGGCGTGTGTGCCGCCCCAGATCCTGACCCCTCGCGTGTGTCTGGAGGGCTTCGGGCGCCCGGTAGCGGCCGGGGGGGCAATAAAGGGGGTCTGGTGGGGCCTTGTTATAACGGCTTCAGAGCTACCGCTGCGGGCCCAAGAGCTCAAGAGGTGATGTAACGGTGCACGTCTCTTCCCCCCACCACCACCCCCGTCCGTTTCCCCCGTTAACGGGCACCCGAGGGCACCCCCAGAGGTTCCTGAACACCAGAACAGAAGAACCCAACGACGACCCAGGTCCGCGATCCTCGAGGATCGAGGGCAAGACTCCACAGGCCAGGCTCGCTGCAGCGCAGCCAGGACGGCCGCTCTCAATGCGAGAGGAGGCAAGGGCCCAGTTGACCCCCTTTTCGAAGGGGCGGCGATGAGGAGGGGACGAGTGCGGCGAGGGACAGGATGTGTCGTGTCGAGGCCGAGGTTGAGCGATTGGGGGCGGAATCGGAGTCGGAAGAGGAAGTCCAGTGTGAATCCAAAACGCATCCTCGATGTTGCAATAAGACCCTTCCTCCAAGTTCACTCTTCGTAGGTCCTTACAGAAGTGCCACATTGAACGACAACCGCCTGAGAATCCTCATTTGTGCCAGAACGCCATTCTTGAGGCTTCAGTGCCGCGAATCAGCGTGGCTGCTGCGTCCTGCCAATCACACCGCATGTAAGAACACAGCTCCTGGGACTTCAGCACCGCGAATCAACGTGACCGTTGCGCTTCGGCAATCCTACATCGTTCCAGTGCGTCACTCCTGGGACGTAAACCCCTACGGTTCCTTGAAACGGCTGCACCCTGTTAGGCCGAAGCCGCGCGGCGCGAAGGCGAGAGCCACATTCTGATAAGGATCCGCCCTCCACTCTAGCTGCCAACTTGTAAGGCGAGTATGAGCGGCGCTAACGCGAGCGCCACATTCTGAAAACCACCCGCTCTTCATCTTTGAACCTGCCGCAAACTTTCAAGACGAAGTGCGCGGCGCTAAGGCCAGGGCCGCTGTTTGAAAACCACCCGCCCTCCATCTTTGAAGCTGTTAGACATGTCATGCTTGAGGGTCATAGATGGTGAGGAAGTTTCGGACGAAACCGCCATACCGACACGCGTGGGGGTGCGACAGGGCAGAGTTATTCATTAGGAAAAGGGGTGACGAGGAGGGACAGAAGGAGGCGGATCGATGTCCGAGTATCAAGAACTTTCCTTCGTGTGTGTGTTTTCATTATGTCTGGGCTTCCCAGGGCGCCCTCGTTGCCATGGCCGGGTTCGCTTCCAGATTCTGGCCAGAACGCATCCCAGGAGTGGTCTGGGGGTCTGGTTGTGTGGCCGATGGGGGCAAGGAGTAGGAGGAGAAGGAGTATGAGGGAGAAGTGAGGAGGTGGAGGAGGGATGATGAGAGGACCACGAGGGAGAAGGGGGTGATGAGCCAGGGGGGGCGGAGGATGGGGGGAGAAGAGAAGAGGTTCTTATTCGAACAACACCCTTGCATCCTCTTCGATTCCCACGTGGCTGGTCGCGTCTCCGCCACGAATATTCCTATCTATATTATCTGACACCAAGGATGGGTCCCCCCCCCTGACCCCCACCCAATAGAATTTGGACGGCTCCGGCGACCCCTTCGTGGGCACTTTTTGGGCCTTCTGGACCTCCCGAGGAGGCTAGATTGCCCTAGAGGCTCCGAGGCCACCCCGAGAGGCCCCAAGACTGCCCAAAAGGCTCCCAGGTCACCCCGGGAGGGCCCTAAGAGCGGTCCGAGACGCCCGAAAATGGCTTCAATGCAGGCCGAAGGCCCCCACGACACCCCAATACAGTTCCAACAGGCCCCGCAAGAAGGCCCCGGGAGGCCAAAATCACCCCATTCCCTGTTTGGAAGACGTGCATGTTTACCATCTTCGCTTCCGTGGATCTTCCCAACGTCCGAGACGGCCCAAGAAGGCCCCAAGACGGTTCCAGAGAGCCCCAAGACGGCCCGAGAGAGCCCCAAGACGGTCCAAGGGGCGTCCAAGACGGCCCAAGAGGCCCCAAGATTGCCCTAATGGAGTTCAAGAGGCTGCACAAGAGGCTCCCAGGTCACCCCCGGCGGGCCCCAGCAGCGCTCCGAAAGGCCCCAAGGTGGCATCACACAGGCCGAAGGGCCCCAAGACGCCCCCAGACAGCTCCAACAGGCCCCCCAAGGAGGCCCCAAGAGGCCAAATTTGCCCCATTCTCTTTGGAAACGTACTGCAGCATGTGCGCTTCCGTGGATCTTCCCAACGTCCAAGCCGGCCACGGAAGGCCTCAAGACGGCTCAAGAGGGCCCCACGACGGCCCGAGAGGGCCCCAAGACGGTCCATGAGCGTCCAAGAAGGCACAAGTGGCCCTAAGCACGCCCAAAGGGAGTCCCCAGAGACCCGAGAGAACCCAATGAGGGGCGTAGGCCACTATCTTGGGTGGTGCGGCTCCCACCATGCCTCCGACCCCTCCAGGAGGCCTCCAGGACCTCCCAGAAGGCCCCCACAATCTGATACGCCCCCTGAGTTCCAAAAAGGCCTCAGAGCTACCGACAACCCCCCCACATGCTTCCAAGACGGCCCAGCATGGACCCAGCACGGCCAAATGCGGCCCCAATATGGCCCAAAGGCGTTTCACATGTCTCCACTTGCTCCAAAACGGTATCCAAAAGGCTCCAGGGGGCCCACTATAACCCGTAGATTACCTCGGAAAGAGCGCGTTCTGTGGTCGCTGGGAGGGGGGGGGGCTTGGAACCGGACCCCCCCCCTCCCCTCCCGTGACGGAAGGAGGGGGGGTTTGACCCCCCCCCCCTGCCCCCCCCTGCTTCCCCTCTCCTCGGGCCGGCGCTTCCGTCGGCGGCGGCTGGCGACGGCGTGACGACGATTTCCATTTCTGGGCCGGCGCCGGCGCCTGCGGCGGCGGGCGGCGGTGGCGGGGAGCGTCGACGAGGACGACGGTGGTGGTGGTGGTGGTGGTGGGTTGTGGTGGTGGTGGTGGTGGCGGTGGTGGTGATGGTTGTGGTGGTGGTGGTGTGGTGGTTTGTGGTGGTGGTGGTGGCGGTGGTGGTGTGGTGTGGCGTGGTGGTGGTGGTGGTGGTGGTGTGGTGGTGGTGGTGGTGGTGGTGGTGGTTTTTTGGTGGTGTGGTGGTGGTGGTTTGTGGTGGTGGTGGGTTGTGGGGGTGGTGGTGGTTTGGTGGTGGTGTGGTGGTGGGTTGTGGTGGTGGTGGTGGTGGTTTGTGGTTGTGGCGATGGTTTGTGGAGGTGGTGCTGGTGGTGGTGGTGGCGGTGGCGGTGGTGGTGGTGGTGGTGTGGTGGTCTGTGGTGGTGGTGGTGGTGGGTTGTGCTGCTTGTAGTGGTGGTGGTTGTGGCGGTGGTGGTGGTGGTGTGGTAGATTGTGGTGGTGGTGGTAGTGGTGGTGGGTTCTTGTGGTGGTGGCGGTGGTGATGGTGAGTTGTGGTGGTGGTGGTTGTGGTGGTGTGGTGGTGGTGTGGTGGTGGTGTGGTGGTGGTTCGTGGTGGTTTCTGGTGGTGGTGGTGGTGATTGGTTGTTGTGGTGGCGGTGGTTTGTGGACGTGGAGCTGGTGGTGGTGTTGGTGGTGGCGGTGGTGGTGGTGGTGGTGTGGTGGTTTGTGGTGGTGGCGGTGGGTTGTGCTGCTGGTAGTTGTGGTGGTTGTGGCGGTGGTGGTGGTGGTGGTGTGGTAGATTGTGGTGGCGGTAGTGGTGGTGGGTTTTTGTGGTGGTGGTGGTGGTGATGGTGAGTTGTGGTGGTCGTTGTGGTGGGGGTGGTGGCTGTAGTGGTGGTGGTGGTGGTAGTGTGGTGCTGTTGAACATTATTAATTCTAAAGAATAATTATTGTTGGGGCCCCTGGTGCGCGCCCCCCCCGCCGCGCCTAGGCCGCAGCCACATTTTCATCATTTTCGTGAGGAAGTCTCAGGCAAAACGGGGTATACCAGATCCGGTTGTGTTGTTACGATCGGTTTTCCCTTGCAAAAAATAAGGCAAAGTGGACATTTCTTGTTCTAACATGACCAAACTTCAAGAATCCCTTGCAAAAAATGTCACGAAGTGCACATTCGCGCGCGCAAGACGGAATCCTTCCAAAACCTTAGTCTTCGTAGCGATTTTCACATAAAAACATAAAACAACCCAATGGTTTTTCAAAAAAGGGTTTCAAACATTCACCCCGCGCGCTCTTGCGGATTTCTTAGGAAACCCAATACTTTTTCAACATTTCTGTCAAACGGGCTCTTGCGAGCAACTTTTTCACGTGCTTCGAACTTCTGCAACAAAGGTTGCGCGCCTGCCAGGGCCATCATCCCTGTCAAATAATACCATGTGGGACACATTCGTTTTTTCTTCGCGCGCGCACGCCAACCTGGGACAACCACAACCATCAGGACCTCCAACCAGAGAGAGCTAGTCACGTGTATTTCGTAGACGAATGAGCCAGTATTGCACATTGAGGCCGGAACGACAACCACAGAACAAGAATGAGCATGTATCGTCTCACAACAACGGAAACAAGTCCTGTGGTATGCTGGCGCCACGCACGTGGTACCACTCAAAATAAGTGTCTTCGCTTGTGTGGTACAGAAACGGAAAAACGTCGGAAAACGGTACAGGTGTCCAGTGTTGGAACAGGGGGAAAAGTCGTATATTAAGC